TATAAATCAAACCCTTACTACAATGTCTGTCTAAATCTAAGGAGAACGAGGGATGAATATTGGATATGCCTTAATGACGACACACATAAAGTGAAAGGTGWTTTTAGTCGAAAAGGATTCAAATACATTGTTTATGAAAACACATCCAATGAGGATTCGATCAAAACATCTTCACCCAAATCAGCTAGCGGGATACCAAATGATTATCAATTTATTTTCATGTGATTGACAATCCAAAAGAGGTTACACAATATATGCGTGCTATTGCCTTGAATCTGATTGGCTAGTTATTCCCCGCCCATAAGTGTGCTAGTCCTGCTGGGGACACCACGTAATTCCTATCTATTTGACAACGGAACAGTTTGACAGATTGCACAATTGCATGATCAGTTCATCTGATCTATTAGTCAAAGACACTAAGAAAAAATCTTCAAACAACTCTTAAGTAACTGATAAGTACATTCACACCTTCTGACATCGATCGAAGATCGAAAAAAATAATCTACTAACTGGTAAAATACTGGGATCATTCAGTGTGGAAGATAATGTRTCGCAGAAGAATGATACTCGGGATTGCACGCACTTTCATCTTCTATTCCTTCATTGCCATCTTCTCAACCACAGGTGAGCTACTGGGCTTGTTCGCTAACTTTTACCTACTTATCATTTACCGGTTATAGTTTGGATAGCACACTCAATACAGTAACTTTGCTCTGGTAGAAGGAAAATGAAAAATATGGGGGGGAGATGCTAGAGTCGACTGACAAGGACAGGATGACAGAAAAGTGTCATAGTTACTATCGCGTACATTCGAGCGATAAGATGTTTCAAGTGCACTTCAAATTTTGAACACGGACTCTTGAAAACATCTGTGTTGTTTTCGCTGATTCATATCGAATGTGTGCCGGGTTAGTCGTTGAAATCTTTTTGAAAATTTGTTTGCTACTTCATCTAAATATATAATAATTTTTAGCAAAATAAATATATTTCGAAAACATAAAAGTGTTGTGAAAATCTAGGTCTAATATCCTTAATCGATGCGTCAAAAAATGACTTTAACTCTCATGAGTTGCTATAGACCTATTAAACTGGCTTCAAATTTTGAAAAAGAAAAGAAAGGTGTCTCCTTGGCAACGGAAAAACAAGCTAGGTTGCCATGCAAATAATAGTCATAGACGTAAGCTTTGCGAGYAATTAGTTTCTGTGAATAGTTTTGAGTAAGATATGTCGATATAACTTCTTCCATAAACTTATTTTACATTGCCTGGAAATGAATTTTGCGAGGTCAAATATTTTTTCTAGTCATAAAGCGAAGATTTTTCRGCTTCGAGCTAATATAAATTTTGGAAAACACATAAACAATAGACAATATTCATGCCTAGTGAGCTTGGAATGGAATGGAATGATCCAGAACACCCTTCCTAGTTACAAATCAAAACAAACGATATGAATGATGGTTGCTTGAACTTTTCGTTTSGAGTTATGCAGTAAACGACGAATTGAGAGGGAGAAAATAAACAAAATAATATAATAATTCTATGAACAAAATAATCTATAATTTTTTACCACTTTTTTCTTTTTCATTTTCAACTTTTTTGCTTGCTTTTCTTGTTTTTTTATTTTCTCTCAGTTTCTTTGCAGTAAAAAGAATTCTACATCAGAAAATTGAAAATGAATTCCCAAATTTTCCTAGAAATTTCTGAAACAACTTGGTTCTTGACGCGGCTAATTCACAGATCGCGGAAAAGGAATTTCGTTTTCGATCAAGATRAAACCTTTATCTTCTCAAAAAAATGTCAAACGGTTTGTCAAATTAATTCRTTTCCCATAAAGATAAATCCTAATGTATAGAGTTTAATAAGCTGGGAAAGTWTCCATTGAATCTCGCAAACAGAACGATGTAACTTTTTCTTTCTCTACTTGATTTTGGACGATTAAGATTATATTCAGGAAGAAATATTTAACCTATTGAGAAGTTGAGCAAAATTGCATTCTGGTCGAACATTTAACTAAACTTGCTAGGAAATAATAAAAAATGCTAAATGGTTGTTTACGGAAGGTGTTCCAAATTTACAAAAAAGGGGAATATTTATTCATTATTGGATCGAGCTGATCGAGAAAATTATGTTAAGGTCTCGAGACCTATCTGAAAAAATCCTTAGAAGACTATATATCGTGTCGTCTAACTCACAGATATACGAAGACAGACTGAACGTGCAGTTCAATGTATTTTCTCTGCTGTTGTTTTTTAACGTTTCTATTTGTTTTCCTTATAAAGGAATATTATTTTCCCCTTTTCTTATCTATGCTTCTTTCTTTCTTTCTTTCTTGTTATTCATTTTGTTAAATTATTTTTGTATTGTTTTGTAAATTCTTTTTTTAATGATTTTCTCTCTTCCTTTCATTCTCTTTCTTTCTTTCTTTCTTTCTTTCTTTTGCTTTCTTTCATTCTTTTTCATTCTCTTTTTCTCTTCATTCTTTTTTTTTTTTTTTTTCTCATTTCTCAAAGTTTATTCCATTTTTAATTCATGTGGAAATCCTTAACGAAAGTTAATAACAAAACAAAAAACAAAAGTGTAAAATAATAGTATAACGTTTTCAAAAATCTATCTTTAAAACTAAACAGGTATTTTTTCGATTTTCAAAACGTCTGACAATAGYGCGGAAAGCACCTTTTCTAAAAGACTGGTGCAACTTTTCAGGGTTCCTAATTGCATTATTGATCCATTTTGGACTAGAAGCGGCCGCCATTCCGTGCTAACAAAGCTTCGGCTAGAAATTCATTCCTTAGAGGCCAGCATTGCCAGCGTTACATATGGTTCAAATGTTGTTAGAGCTTTGCATTTTTTCAGCTGTCTGATACAGCAAAACGCAGACGTAAATTGGCTATTATTCCAAAGCGATACCATGAGTAATGCCAGCGTTACATATGGTTCAAATGTTTTTAGAGCTTGGCATTTTTTCAGCTGTCCGATACAGCAAAACGCAGGCGTAAATTGGCTATTATTCCAAAGCGATACSTCGTAGGCTTTGTTTTAGAATTCATTTCCTGGACGTACGGGGTTCGGGAAAAGCAATTTCAGTCCCCGTAAGACACCCAGAGAATAAAAAGATATATCGAAGTTCCTGCTTCTTTAATTCGTTCTTTCTTTCTTACGTTTGCTCATMTACAAYTTCTTTTGTTCGTTTCGTTCTTCCRTTTATTCATTCATTCTTTCATCCTTTCGTCCATTTATTTGTTCTTTCCTTTAAAATCCAACGTTCCGCGCATTCTTCTGGCCCGTTTCTCACAGCAACACTAACTTGTCTATCAGCGAATGTAAAATATAGATAATAAAAACACACTTTTGTTAGACAGGGTACAACGTTACCAGATTGATAATTTTCAGGTGGTCTTCAATATACTATAATTATACAATATATAATATGAAAATTATACAAATAACAAAGTTTAAATTATTATAATTATTATAATTTAAAAATAAAAATGATTATTGTGTTTTCTATTTCAAGACGTGCGCCAGGAAAGACGGAAGACAAAGCACGTCAATACACATGCACTTTCCATTCACTACATTTTAACAAGTGCGGATCGTTAACCTATAATTCCTGCTGCAGGGCACGTACGTTCAGATAACACTATTCGACGTCTTCAATTCTATCACTTTTTCTTTGTTACACATACGAAACTCTCATTTTTGAATTTCCTATGGATTTATCATAATTTCTCCGTCCTATAAAAACATTTTATACTCGAAGTAAGTTMAGTTATGAACTCAGTAAATGCTTTGTGCTACAGATTGTAAAATACGCGAAGAAGATTAAGTTTGAGAGTTGATGTTGGTAAAGCTAGTGAGTGTTATTKCAACATATCTTTTTCTCGACTCGAAATGCGTACTTGATAATACATTGAGGATTGTGATGTTGATGTTGATGATGGAAGAGAAGGTGATAATGATGATGATAGTGATGATGATGCATTACAATTATAATGCTGATGATGCATTGACGATTGTGATGTTGATGATAATAAAGATGATGATGAAAGTGAGAATGATGATGGTGATGATAGTGCTGATGATGTATTGACGATTATAATGCTGATGATAGCAATGATGGTCACAATATAATGATGATTATGATGATTATGATGATATGATAGTAATGATGATGATGATGAAAGTTATGATGATGATGAATTGACCATTATCAATAATGTTGACGATTTTAATGATGATGATAACGATGCTGATGATGATGATAGCGATAATGATGCATTGACGATTATAATTCTGATGATGCATTGACGACTATAATACTGATTATAATAATGATGATAATAACGATGGTACTRCATAATGATGATGATGATGCATTGACAATGATTATAATGTTGGTGATAGTAATGTATTTGCATGCTAACCAACCCCAAACTTTTCAAACCTTTTCCAACACCTCCTAGTCCGCGCAAAACTACTGTGTCAGCTTATAATCAAAACCCCTTCATATTTTCCTGCTTCACGATTCCCATACGCAATCCACTTTTTTTTCCTCCAGAGTTTTCTAGAGTAAAATTTCCAGCTGTTGAAAAAGTTTACGTTTTTCTGTTTGTGATCGATCCTAACACAACAATGTTTGAACTTTATGATAAGATTAAAATGACTATTATCTAAAAAATCTTAAAACAGTTTTAATTCGAAAAATGATTAGAAAAAAGACTATGTTATTTCATCTCCATAGTAACATCACGAGGCACAAACTTCAAAGTCAAAAAATACTTCAATTTGCATTTTATYTGGCTGGCGATAATAAAGTTTGGTTGCCCCCGCTGTTTTCAGTTTCTATTTGACGAAAATGATGAATATGGGATAAAAGCATTATTTTCCCCCGCTGTTGGCAATGCTCGAAGACACAATGGAATTGTTCATATCAGTATGTCTTGACGTTGAAGTTACCCGGCTGTCAAAGTTACTTGCTTTGATTGTAGACTACTGAAGCGTTTTCCAGGCAGAGCGACTATTTACGACAACTATCACTCACTATGAACTTCAAATGTGGAAAGCTGCTAGCACTATGRCTATTAATAGCAGTTAACGGTAACTTGACTAACTCCTACATTACCTGAGGCTATTCACTTAACTTCCTTAGCCTTACCATGATGAAGAATTCTTAAACTCTCGTTTTTTCATCCGTTTCAATAACTTTTCCTCGCTACGAATTTCTTTTTTCATAAAAAAATATAGGATTTCGGATTTGCCGAGTATTAGGCCTTTAACAAWAATTCTGACTCTAAAAATTCGACTCTAAAATAAAAACAACTCAGGTTTTTARAGTTTGAGTTCAGTTTGAGAACACACAAATCATTAATTTCGCGAAGTAAATGAACCGATAAAACTTCAGTAAGAACCATAAAGTATTTTTTCTGTATTGGCTAACTTACATAGTTCAAATAAAAACGAAAAATCAGTTACTTAAATCCTTCAATTCTAGTTCAGTTTTGTCTTATTTTACTAAGGTATATTAGGTATGTTATTGAAAAACTTTATCATTAAAGAAAGATGGCGAGTGAAATACAATATGACAAAATAAAAATGAAAACAATTAATTAGCAAAAAATAAATATTTAATCAATAAATTACCAAAATATGTTTGGCTTCTACAAGTTTCGATCAACCTAACACTGAGTYCCTAACTCATTTTTATATTACGATAAATGAAAAAGTAGTCTCTAAATTTTAACTTGAAAGTGACCACGAAAATACAAATGCRTCGTTGTTCAGAGAAACTAGTTTATTTAATTTTTCGTAAATAAACTCCTTCCAGAATATTCCTTTTTAAGGCGAAGAACGTCAGAGTAGGCAGCCCATTCTAATGGATAATTGATAATCATTTCTTCTAGGTTGTTCTTTATTATTTCATCAAGTTTAAATCCTTCATCAGTGCAAGTGTTTGTCTACAATTCTTGGGGTGCATATTACGTCATAGCCGCCATATTGGCTGACGATCGTTATTTATAGCCCACTTACGAGATGTGCCTCGC